AGACTACGACACAGTCTACACTCCCGAACGTAGGTTTGGTTGGTGTGTACACCTCACTATTTACCACACTGTCACCATGTAGTGTCTTGTCCTGCTAGGATCATTAATCCCTGTAGGGATAATAAACACTACGTAATATTCGGTAGTCTATTTATTCAATGAATTGATATAACAATATCCCGTAGCCTCACATGTGCCCACCTAACCTGTATTATACACGCTGTCGCGTGGTCTTTATTGCGTCCTTGTGTACGCACAGTTGAGCTGCCCGAATACTACTGAATCTCTCCCGCTCGTGTATCTCACATCGCGCCACACGGCGGTATAATAAAAGGCAATGTTGCCACCTACTCATTAAACTGATACACTACAGTATAGTACATGATAATATTCAATTATGAAGTGTCAAGGTGAGATTTGAAATGAAGTTGCTCGAATCATATGGTATTTGACTAATGAGTTTACATTAGTGGAAAAATAAAAACGATACACAGCCACATCAGTACTAAACTGCGCAATCGTTTCCTGGAGCCATTTATCATACTTATCAAGAAATGTGCCTAAAGATCGACATTGATTAACAGAAACGGACTTGGATTTCAATGACGAAATGAATTTCATTCATTTGATTCATTCATTTCAATAAAATTCTGTAGGAGTCCATGTTGTCTCAAAGTGGGGTGAAGTAGTTCATATAGGTATGAACGGTCAGCCGCGGCACAATCTACCATTTTTCTGCCTAGTAGAACAAATAATTATTGTAACTTTATATGAAATTTTTTGACTATGCTCTATACATCCGAAACATGCCGCCTTTCCGTTTATGATTTGATGATATTGAACGTTGTGGAGACCACTTGGAGTATCATTACTATGTAAACAACAGACAATGTTCAACAGAAGTACAAGAATGTGAAGCAACGATTCTATACTTGAAATTATTGAAAGAGGTTTCAGATAGCTTTCTGAAGAAGAACTCGGATGTGAAGTGGCGTCTTCATTTGATTTTGTATAATGTATTCATTCTGCGCATTTGGAGGAATTGGTTGATTGCAGAGAAAAAGTTCTCCCTCAAAGACAACCTCATAACTATTCATTCTTATTTATCGATTGAAATCAATACACATTGTCTGATATTGCTGATAATACTATTCTCAAAAGTTTAAGAGAAGTATATTTCGACAATATATTTTCCCTGGTTGATGAGTAGTCAAACTTGTGATTCCGTTCGACCATTCTAGGAATAATTAATCGATTGAACACAATTCAATACATACAGGACACAACTAATGATTTGAAAGACACTTTCCATTTCCACGAGAAAATTATCCTCGCTTGGGAAATAATGAAAAAATTATAGAATTCACACCTTCAACGAAGTCTGAGAGATAAACTGTTGTTAATCATCTCTTGAAGCAGCAACAGAACATATGAGAAGTTGAATATATCATCAATCAAGGCTCATGAGAAAGAAGATACGAACGAGTCGACGATAGACATTGACATCAACAATGACACTGACTCAAAATATCCAGAAGGTACCTTGAAAACACATGTGAATTCGATTGATATTTTCTCAAATACTACTGAGGGAATATTCATAGAACAATTCAAAAAAATATCTGTCTTCTGTCAGAACATCAGAGAAAACCAGCTATACACACTCCTAGAAGGAAATCAGAGATTTCCATAGGTGATTGGTGCAAATCCAGAAATACTTAGAAAAATAAAAAATCTGATTTTATAACTTGCTCAATTTGAAAAAGTCTGAATATTCACGAGAGGCTGTTAACATATAAATAGAGAATAATATTATTGGATGTCTGGCGAACTGGTACGACATTGGAGGAAATGTATTTTTGACACACCACTGATGAACGTTGATGGTTTCTGTGACATAATCAATCATATTCTGACTATATTGAAACCACAGGCATATCGTGAAAATGAATTATTCATCGACATAGATATATTCTATTCGCTGAGTAACTTTTTTCATAAGCTTACTGATTCAAGATCAAGCTCTCCTGATCCTTTAGACTCACCAGAAGGATTCCGTCGGGGCTTTTATATTCCTGGAAACCGAATCAGAAAAAGAATCGAATAATTCAAAATCACATTTGATATCGAATATGTCTAGTGAGAATTATTATGCAATATATCGAAAACAAATGTGGTACATAAGCAGAATTATAGAGGAAATGAAGATTGACAAATTTAAACCAAAGTTCCAGAAAGGAAATCTTCAAAAATTCAATTGGCATTAGAATGATGATATTGACGTTAGTCATTTTGAAAAGAGTTTTTCACGAGCCTTTGGGAATATCAAGGGCTTGCCGTTCGACCATCTCAAAAAAACAACTGAAAGACCATGTGAAATGTGAACAATTATTGGGAACATTACTTTCTCTACTTCTCTTTTATTTCAAATCTTTATGTTTTATTACTCTGCTCAGACGCATTATACTAATTTTGAGAACGTCTCTAGACATGTATTTACGTTGATTTTTTGTTTTCATGTTTAAATATATGATTGAAGAAACAAACTAAGCCTAGTTTTATTCCAAAATGCAACACATCCCTATCCATCTCATCTATATTTATGAGTTTATTCAATTGAGTGTGCCCATGAACTTCGTCATTTTAAATGGAAGAAAATGACTGAGAGATGAAGGAATTTTGAGGAATTTCTAGGAAATGAAGGAAATCGAGGCATTTTGAGGAATTTTCAGGAAGTGGATGGGTATTGAAGCGAATAAATAAGGAATGAAGAAAATCGATGAGACATGGGAGAAGTGAATGGGAAATGTAAGGGAAATAAAGGAAATGAAAAGAAGATGCAGGGAAGGAATGGGAAATGAAGGAAATAAATGGAAAATGGATGAAATAAACTGAAGAAAATAATCTCCCGTACACTATTTCAGACAATTGTTGATCCCTCGTCCGTAGGCGCCAAATTCAAATGATTCAATAGTCCCTGTTCGTGATTATCCCGATTGTTCCTACAGCAGACTCGATTAGGATAGGTATTGTTCACTCAGATCGAAAATTGGAAATTGAATTAAAATCAATATTGAAGTTTGAAATGTCACTAATGTGGAATAATTGGAATGAGAAAGTGATGCAAAATTCAAAAATGCAATTATATACAGGGTATTTCATTTGGGAATCAAAAGTAATCATCACTTCCGGTGAAACCATTAGTGGAAAATTGAACATATCTATGTCAAAGCATGACATTTATAAAGATGATGAGTCATAGCAAATTTCAATCACTCATCTCTGACACTGAAGGAGAGAAAGGAGAGTAATTGTGAAATTATAAGATGCTGAATCTTGATGAGTGCAGGTGCAATTCCGTGGAACATACCTAGAAAACCACTGTCAGGAGATGTTGAAAGTTTTGACAAAGACATTTTGTCACTTAGTCACTCCATCCTTCTACCATTCGCGAATACTGATGAAGCTATCCGTATGGTATTTATTTTGTAGTATGTAAGATAATATAGGGTGATATTATATTGTAGGAATACTCTGTATAATAGGTTAAGCGAGGACAACGCACCGTGTGGGTTGTTAACACTGTTGTTATCAAGACGCACGGTGTATTCATGATATTAGGTTGTTTAGGTTTAGGGTACGTTCCTATGATTTATATATATATACCTGGTACCACCAATAAAGAGAAGATTGATTCTAACTTGACTTTGAATTGATTACTAGAATGTCTGTCACCATACATTCACAACCCAGTTATTAACCTGGAATAGGAATGATCATTCATCCTATTACATGGTGATCCTGCCAGTCGTTTGTACTGTTAAAATTTACACGATTGGTATGGCCGTAGTAGTTGGTTGCTTAGTTCTGGTAGCAATCATCCTGTATATCCGAAGACGAGCGAAGAAAGCACTAGAGAGGAAGATTAGGAGAGAACTTTCCAGGAGCCAGGAGACTGTGTGAAGCCGAGAGAAATTGAACTTCAACCCATAGATGAGCATCGAGTTGGAGTTGCAGCAGGTTCGAGGAGGCGCAGAGAGGAACGCAGGATCAATATGTATAAGGTAGATAAGTTAATTAGTGTTAGGTAGTACAAATGATAGAATTTAGGCATATTTATGAGAAAATTAGGGTTTTTAGACGTAATTTAACAAAAGATAATTCTCAGAGGCGAGGTAATTTGCAATTAGTTGATCAGAAACGTTCAGAATTGAGGGAAATAGAAGGCAATTTCAATAAAATTAAGGAGTTGTTTAATAGTAAAAGTGAAAAAACTTTAGAAGAAACGGCACAAGTCAAAAGTTATGCTGAAGAAATAAATAGTTTGATTTCTGAAGCACATTCTATTTTAAAGGACAAATTATCAAATATAGAAAAAGGAGGAAATATCGCAAAAATGGGCGAAAAATTTGACCTTAGGACTGCTTCTTCTTTAATTCCCATTATGGATAACACGGAAGATACGACTAAACAGCTTATCGAAGCTATTGAGTTATATAGTGATCTTCTAGATCAAGATGGGAAAACATTCTTGATCAGCTATGTATTAAAAACTAGGCTCTCTCAAAATGCAAAATTAAGGTTAGAAAATACTCACAATTCTATCGATAATCTATTAAAGGACATGAAAGTTCATCTATTCACTAAAAAGTCTGCTGCAGCTTTGTCAATTGAAATTCATAATGTCAAGCAGGAAAATAAATCAATAGAGGAATTCGAAAGAAGTATTGAAGAACTGTTAGTGAATTTAACCTTATGTCAATCCAATGGAGATGATGATAGTGCAAAAATTTTGTCAAAAGTTAACGAGAAAATAGCGATTAATGCTTTTGCAAATGGGCTGAGAAATTCTGAGTTACGGACCATCGTTAAAGCAAGGAATTATAATAATCTAAGGGATGCAATAGGTGGCGCTAAAGATGAAGATAAGTCAAAGATAGGGTCTTCAAATTCTTAATGTTTCCATATGAGAGATCGAAGAGCTAGACGCGGTTTTTCAGGAATCAGAGGAAATCAGTATTTCCATGAAAATAACAATAATAATTCCATTAGGTTCAATCAAAACAACGAATTTAGACAGTCAAATAGCCAACAAAGAAATTTTCCTAATCAGCGATATAATAATAATCGTGGACGCGGTAGCGTGAATATGCGTCGTTCAAATCGGTATAGAAATCAGAATAGCCAGAATCATAGAGCTTATCTTGCGGAAAGTTCAAGTTCAAACACTGAGGTCGACAACCAAGTAAACAATAACAACTCTGCGAGTGAACGGTTTTTTCGTTCCTAAACAAAATGGAAATATTATGAACGATGTTGTTATACTAAGTATGAATGGGATGAATTTTGTGAAAATGAGATATGGAACGAATAAACTCATATTTTTGATTGATACTGGAGCAAAATATTTAGACAAGTGTGAAAGAATTGACACCTCAAGAAATATAAGAATAAATGGAATAGCCGGATCAACAATTTCACAAGGTTCAGTGAATGTTTCTTTGTTTATAGAGGACGTGATTATTAAGCACGAGTTTTTATTACTTGATAACTTTGCAAATGAGATGCATGGAATCTTAGGATCCGATTTTCTTACTAAATATTGTGCCACCATTGATTTCGAGAAATTCTGTTTTTCTCTATGGAAGAATAACAGGAAAATAACCATACCTTTACAGTCAAAATACGATTGTTATACGATTATTCCACCACGTTGTGAAATTATCAAGTACTTTTGGATTGATAGTGATGATGAATGAGTTGTATTAGGGGATGAATTGAGCGAAGGTGTGTTTGCAGGTAGCGTGATTGCAAAACCAAAAAATAATTTGATACCCGTTAGATTATTGAATGTTAATGACAAGGAAGTGAAACTTTGGAACTTCAGACCAAAATGTGAAAAACTTGCCAGTTTTGATGTATGTGAATTTGAGAGCAAGGATTTAGCTGTTGAAAGAATAGATAGAGTGTTAGATCTTATAAATGTTGATTCGCTGAATAAAGAGGAAATAACGGCAATCTAGAAAATATGTACGAAATATGCCGATGTTTTTCACTTAGAGGATGATTCACTTTCGGTAACTAACGTTGCGAAACAAAAAATCCAATTGGAGCAAAATGCGAGCTCAGTTTACGTGAGGCCCTACAGATTACCACATGCACAGAAAGCGGAGATTCATAAACAAATAGATCAAATGTTGCAGAATGATATTATCGAAGAAGCAAGATCAGAATGGTCTTCGCCATTACTCATAGTGCCTAAAAAATGCGACAGCAAAGGTAACAAGAAATGGAGAGTAGTGATCGACTATAGGTTGTTAAATAAACAGATAGAGGATGATAAATTTCCACTGCCCTGTATATCAGAAATCTTAGATTCATTAGCAGGCGCAGTCTATTTTTCTCACCTTGATCTGTCTCAAGGATACTACCTAGTAGAGTTAGATCCTGCTAGTCGACCATATACATCATTTACAACCGATAGGGGTCAGTTCCAAATGAAGCGCTTACCAATGGGGCTGAAAATTAGTCCAAATGCTTTCTCCAGAGTAATGACAATGGCTATGTCTGGTTTGAATTACGAGTCGTGTTTTATTTATTTAGATGATCTGATCATTTTTGGAAATAACTTAACTAGCCATAACAAAAACCTTGTCAAAGTGCTAAAAAGACTCAGAAATGTTGAGCTCAAGCTCAACCCGAGTAAGTGCAAATTTCTTAAGAAAGAAATTTTGTACTCAGGTCACGTGATTTCGTCAGACGGCATTCCACCTGATCCAGGAAAAATTAAATCGATCCAGAGATATCCGATTCCCAAAGATGCTAATGAGACAAAGCGGTTCGTGGCATTTGCCAACTATTACAGGAAATTCATAAGAGATTTTGCTAAAATAGTAAATCCATTAAACAGACTAACTAGAAAAAATAGTGACTTTCAATGGTCGGAGGAGTGTCAGCAATCATTTGAGACACTAAAAAGTGCTCTTTCCACTCCTCCCGTGCTACAATATCCTGATCTGTCAGAAAATAATCGGTTTATTTTAAAAACGGATGCGTCAGGATTTGCTTTAGTAGCAGTTCTGTCAAATTCTAATGACAGGCCTGTGGCATATGCCAGTAGGTCACTTAACAAAGCAGAATTGAATTACTGCACTATCGAAAAGGAACTACTTGCGATAGTTTGGGCAGTAAAGCACCTCAGGAGTTACTTATTTGGTAGAAAATTTGACATTTTCACAGATCACAGACCTCTTGTCTATCTATTTGGGATGACGAATCCGTCAAGTCGTTTAACTAAATTCAGGTTAACGTTGGAAGAATATGATTTCACAATATCTTACATAAGAGGATCAGAAAACGTATCAGCAGATGCTTTGTCCCGTATTCAAATTGACGCGAACGAACTCAAAGCAATGGGTGAAAAAATTGAAAATATTATGTTTGTCACAACTAGGGCACAATCGATGCGAACTAAAAATAGGCAAAATAGCAATGATTTGGCTCACAGCAGGCTTGATCACCCTGGTGTAGTAGAATTATTGAAGAGACCATTTGGAACAGTAGAACTGAGACCAGTTTACGAAGATAAATTTGACAGAATAGTTGTTAAGAACGTGCAGAATGAGAAAGTTGTATATTGCAATGTAAAATATAATATTGATGCTGGAATTATTTATTTAAAACAGAACTCCCGATCAGCGTCTGCCTTCGGAGCGTCGTTGAGGGATCTTAAAAATATTTGCGAGAAATATAATGTTACAGAACTATGCATAGTAAGAAAAGAAAACTGTACAGTATTGTTAGAAAGTATTAAAAGAAATATAGACGAATTTAAAAAGGCAAATATAAAATTTTCTGTCATAAAAGGTGTTCAAGTCATAGATGACAAGGAAATGAGACAGCTCATATTAAATGATTTTCATATGTTACCCACAGGAGGTCATACGGGGATAACGCGAATGTATAATAATATAAGGAAATATTATTTCTGGTCAGGCATAAAAAATGATGTTGAAAGGTTCGTGATGCATTGTGATGACTGTCAAAGATATAAACATTCGAAGCCAAATAAAGAACCATTGACAGTCACCACTACAGCTAAGAGTGCTTTTAACAAAGTTTATCTCGATCTGGTAGGTCATCTGAACCAAGACAACGACAATAATCGTTATATTCTCACATTACAGTGCGAGCTCAGTAAATTTGTTGAGGGATATCCAATAGCAAATAAAGAGGCTGTAACGGTGGCAAAAGCATTTGTCGAAAATTTCATTCTTAGGTTTGGATGCCCTATGGAGATAGTAACGGATCAAGAAACAGAATTTTCAGCGGCTACCCTACAGCAAACTTGTAAACTCTTAGGAATTACATCATTGAAGTCAACAGCGTATCATCATGAAACATTAGGGGCTATCGAAAATACACACAAACATCTAGGGGCATATTTACGCATACAAGTTGCAAATAATCCAGATACGTGGAGTACATGGGTACCTTTTTGGTGTTTTTCATTCAACAACACGGTTCATACAGAGACTCAATACACGCTCTACGAACTTGTTTTTGGAAAATGCTGTTTGATACCATCAAATTTGGATAACAGAATAGACCCAATGTATAACTTTGATGATTATCCAATAGAATTGAGGTATAAATTACAAAAAGCATGGGAAGATGCTAGAAATAACTTGATAGAATCGAAAGTTAAACGGAAATCCACATGGGATAGGAAAATTCAGTCAGAGGTGAATTATAAGCAAGGTGATAATATTTTGTTAAAAAATAATCCGTCTAACAAATTGGAACCTTTATTTAAAGGACCTTATGAAGTGGTAGAAGAAAAAGGTCCTAATGTTATTATAAAAATTGATAATAAGCCTCAACTAGTTCATAAAAATAGAGTTAAGCCATATTATGACATGTCTTAGTTTAGTTAGCTTAAGTAGCATTGTAAATATAGGTATATTGTAGAAAAAAAAATCTCATTAAGATAAGTTTTTTTTTCTCCTTCTCGGGGGAGGTGTAGTATGTAAGATAATATAGGGTGATATTATATTGTAGGAATACTCTGTATAATAGGTTAAGCGAGGCAACGCACCGTGTGGGTTGTTAACACTGTTGTTATCAAGACGCACGGTGTATTCATGATATTAGGTTGTTTAGGTTTAGGGTACGTTCCTATGATTTATATATATATACCTGGTACCACCAATAAAGAGAAGATTGATTCTAACTTGACTTTGAATTGATTACTAGAATGTCTGTCACCATACATTCACAACCCAGTTATTAACCTGGAATAGGAATGATCATTCATCCTATTACAATTTGCAGATCTCTTTTTATATTTTTATCCATCACAGGATTTGCCAATATCAAATTCCTATTTTGAAACGTAGGTACTGGGTTCTGTCGCATTGACAAGGTACGTTCGGAAGTTAAGGAAATGTGAATTTTCAATCATATCTCCAGTACGATCATTAGTGTATCGCCACAATCACTTCTTGATCTTTGCCAAGCTACCAAGAACGACTGATTGGAATACATAAAGACCTGACCTCTCAAACCTCTCAACTGAAGTAAGGGGACCCAAATCTGGTGCTAGAAGCTTGTTATACCTAGATAGAGGAGTTTGAGCCCTACTGACACTTGGGACTCCTACATTTTTCATTCATGATAAAAAGTGAAAAGTAGGTACTATTTTCTTTGTAAACTGACCATTGAGGGTACTTGATGGGATCTTCAGTTGGAAGTGATTTTTAGAGAACCCAAGTGGGGCAGAGTAGCCTCTTGATACTCATGGGGTATCTGGGTCACTGTTTGAAACCATATTGAAGTGTGTAAGATAGTCATACGGAGTAATAACTGGAATTTATCACTGCAAGGGTGCCCTAGGAGTTTCTAGTTACACTACGTTGAATTATTGGAAGGCATCATCTTATCAGCAAATGTGAGAATATTTGAATCATGCAATTCTGTGCTGAATACACTTAATTTTATTGAGCTTCTTCGAATCTGAAACAATATTATCTTTTCTGAATATTGACCTCAATTACAGTTTTTTTCACCATTATCTTCTCACTCTGAGATTCATTAACGTCAATTCAATGGAAACTGACATATAGTATTAACATGTCCTTCTTTATCA